TGTAGGAAATATTTTCAGTTCTATGGTTAGTTGGCCAAAAGAAAATACATATCTTCTAGTATTCAGCTGCACGATTTTTGGTTATAATATAAATCGAATGTGATTATCATGTTTATAAATCTAAAATATACCTAACAAACAAAAAGAAGGTAAGTGATAATACTTACGTAGTCGTACCTATTTAACCCGATGGATTATGAAACATTAAAACAACAAAAAAAAATAAAATCTCAAAAGTATTTTCTACGGTAGAAAGTTTTTTCTACCATTACCTTAAATGTTCCAATATGCCATATCACTAATCGGATTGAATACTCTGCTCATGTTGCTCGTTGAACCATCATATTAGAATATCTATAGACATAATAATCTCAAATATATACACAATTTATTATTCATGACTATCTTTCAACAAGGAGTTCACATATTCATTTAGATTGTTTTCATGTTATTGTAGCGACTAAAAGACGAATAATCACGTGATTATTTTCTACTGCCGCATGTATTTTACAAGTATTGGGTCATTTGTGGTGACTTGACTGAATAAATAATCAAAATCATACTTTGTATAAGTTCTAGAATACTCTTTCACCAATGTAGTAAGTGAAGATCTCCGCAAACGTATTTCAAGATTTTTTACAAATGGAAAGTGATGATCCCAAATGAGCAGTCAAATAATTTATTAGAAGAAAGTTTGCAATATGTGAAACAAGATTATATACAGAAAAAAACTAAGTTTTTATTATTAGGGATAATTTTCTTCAAACAACTCAAAAACCAGTTTTATGAGGCGTTATTCTCATGATCAACTATGTCAAAAGCTTTAGGGTAAAACTACCATCATGGATTGAGCCACTAAACAAACTGCCTTTGAAATTTGTTTCAAATGAGCACCGTCATTAGAAATAATACCAATTATATATGGCATTAGAGTTAATAAACTCTAATAAATAAGGGTTGGAAACTATTAATTAAAGAAAAACTATGAATTTTACCACAAAGTGGTGAGATCCTTAACAAAAATGTGATTGTAAACTTTTCAAAATTACCACTTTCATGAGGTAGAGATGACATGATGAGACGAAAATACTCTTGTATTAATGGGAAGAAAGACATATCTTTATCTCTTCTTTTCCTTCTTTTCTTTTTTAATATATTTTACTTGTCTAATATTATCAACTCATCGACATAGATTAGTCAAAAATGATGTCACACATATATGAACAACAACTATTTTGTTACTAATAATTGACACGTCTAAATTTGTCCACCAAACTAAAAATTATAAGTGTATACACATATATAACGTGAACAAATACAAATAAGTCTATAATGTCAACTTGGCATAGACAAAAAAAATATACATATATATATATATATATATATATATATACATCTTGGGTCAATAGTCGTTAGTAACGTCTGTTTGGAATTTCTAATATGGTAAATGGACATCATTTCTAAAGTAATAAAGGCATAGACCAAAAAAATAAAAAATGTAATCAGATTCTAATTACCTAAATGGGTAATATTTTTGATTTAGATAAGTGATATTGTCCAAAACATCTTTGGTTTCCTTGTAGATATATTCTTCTCTGTCTGGCCAAAATGACGAAGTATTAGAACTATATGTTGATTGATATAATAATGGTAGACACTGTATGTTGATTGATATAAGAATTACGGACAATATACATCTTTGGTTTCTTTGTAAACATCTTATTAGTCTTTTTTGCATATTAATTAAAAGTGCCTATTTTCATATAGTCCTTACTTTCTAAATTTTTATATAATATCATTTATAATTTGTACGATGTATTGGTTTTTTTTTTTTAGTAATTAGTAAAAATCACAGTAAATTTTAATTATATGAATTAAAGTATTTGATAACTAATTGTTCAAAAGAAATTATTTATATATATATTGTATGGTAAAATAAATATTCAGAGAGAATGTGATATATTAGTATTCGTCCATGTATATGAAATCTGATAAACTTATAATCATATAACCAAGGTTGTGCATAATGAATAATAATGTTATTTGGTAACATGCATTTTGAGGCTCCTTATTGCTTAGTTTTCATTTGATATACTTGTAACATATGCATTTTAGAGATATTTTTTATTTAGTTTAAAACTCTATTTCATTATCTTTATTATTTTACAAAAATATATTTTTATTTTTGTTTTATATACATAATTTATTACAAAAATGTTAAAACATCACTTTTTATCCACTTTACGTCCTCAAAACCTAGGCACGACTCCGCACAACACCATATTTTTGAATTTGTTTTAGCCTCCGTAGTTATAAAGATTGATACCATTTGAAAGAATATTTATTTGATAATTAAACAAAAAAACAAAAAAAACAAGAGAATAGTATAATTCATGCATAAAAATGATATTGCAAATAAGAATTTTTAGGAGAGGGAAATGCAACATGAAGTTCTTCTAAAGAGATATTTAGCTCCAAAGTTAGATATGAAACTATAGTGATATGTTTGGATTACATATTATCCTTAAAAGTTTACGTCATATATAATAGAATTTAGGTTACTATATTAGCGTCATATGTACTTTATTAATTTTAGTATTGTTTTTTTAAAACCAGTTTTTAAAAGAGTGAATTTGCTAGAGACATTATTAGGGCATATAATTAAGAAAACAACATAAATATAGAGTATTATAGACAACATAAAAATAACGGTTGGAATAAGCCTTCAAGTTGCGAATAATTACAAGATTACCAGCCACAATTTTCGTCATGCGCGTGGGGAGAAGAGAAACATCTGACATTTAATAAATGCTCAACAGTTGAATCGATCTTCACGCGGCAACAGATAGAACGAAATGATAGTTATGGAATTTTAATTTGAATCTATAACAAAACATATGGACGAAAATTAGAAAATTTAAACAACCAACCTAATTGGGTAGATATCTATTAATCAATGTAGCACTTATAGTTCGATATATGACTCTATGAAAGTATATGAACATGTATCTAAATTTATAGATAAATATTAATTCATTAACTAATTGAGAATTTTTGATGAAATTCGATTTTTTTTCCAAGAAAAAAGCATGCTTTGATTGATTTCATGCATAGGCTATGCTCCATCGTCTTCTTCCTTTTCACTCTAATTTTTTTTTTTGGTATTATATTTTATTTCTCTGTATCTTGACCCATCTCCACAAATATCTTTAGATCTGTATCTATACTTTGTAGATCTATTTGTAAAGATCCAAAAAAGTTTTAGATCCTTATTTTTATCGTGAAAATTATCTTTTCCGATGAATAAACAATGGCGGTGTGAATAATAAACACGAAGCTGTTTTTCTTATCGGTTTGAATGAATTAGAACAAAGTTGAGAGAGAGATGAACATGAGATCTGCATCTATACTTTGTAGATCTATTTGTGAAGATCCAAAAAATGTTTTAGATCCTTATTTGTATCGTGAAAGTTATCTTTCCCGATGAATAAACAATGGCGGTGTGAATAAGAAACAGGACACTGTTTTTCTTATCGGTTTGAATGAATTAGAACAGAGTTGAGAGAGATATAAACATGAGAAAAAATAGACATCCAAAAATCAGACATATGTGTGTGAGGTTAAAATAGAAAAAAAAGTGGGCTTATTATTCTTAATATTTTGAATTATTTGGCATAATACCGAAAATTTTATTAGTCCAAAATCTGACGTCTCTCACCCAATTATTTTTTTTAGACTATGTAAGGCATACTCATATCTATAAAAGTCTAGATAATTTGATAATAAAGCTAAATGCCATTCATATTATTTGGTATTACTATGAGGTAGTGTGAGTTATACACTTATACTGTCTGGTGTATGACATTTTTGCCGTTGAATGGTCAATTACTGGTTAGTAAGCAAAGTAATATACATTTTCTATTTAAATGTACGATTTTTGATTAGAATTTGGATCTACTATATTATTTTCACGTTTGCGAATCTAAAATATACGTAAAAACAAAAAATAAAAGGTTAAGTGACAATATTTATGATTCATTGAAACAAAAAAATTTAAAAATCTCGAGAGTATTACTATTTTTCTACTGTGGAAAAGCAAATTTATAGACCAGTTGTCGTTATGAATATTGTTAAACGGCCCAAGCCCACAAGTAACGAAAACCTTTCTCCTCCTATGTCGACTGTGATTGGACCGTTCCATTAATTCATATAGAAACTGACCGATTTAGTACACACCAGTACTACACACAACTTGAGGACCTCTCTTTTTAAAAGTCTTTTTTTAATAGGTTAACAAATTGAACACGTCTTCTTGATATTATTCATATAAAAACTCCATCCAGATTTCTCACTTGTATACTTGTATCTATTGTCTTTTTTTTTTGGTAAAAAACTTGTATCTAGTGTTCCTTGTTAAAACTTTCATAATTTTTAAACATGCTTAAACGAGAAGATACTACAACAAAAAAATGGATTTCAACATGTCGTTCTTTATTTGGTAACAAACAAACTTTCATACCCATTTCTTAACAAGAAACAAAAATTGCACCATGTCTTTACATAAACAGAAAAAACATGTAAAAATAGCTTTATTTAAGGAAAAAAAACAACAACAAAAACATAAAAATAGTCCTTCTGTGCCACTGTCAACGATGCTTTCCCGATCAGGCAAATATATATATTTAAGAAAAAAAAACTCAAAAGAATTAGGACATGTTCTTTATTTTTGGGTCAAATGTAAATCTTTCTAATATTCTGTAGGACCAATAGAAAAAGTAGAAAATATAATATAGGACTTTGAAAATCCCAATAGCCATAAACATTTCTCATATATGTCATACGTTTACAACTTTTTTTAAAAAATTATATTTTCTTGTTAAAAATAAAATGTTATTCATTTGCATAAAAGCATTTTCAAAGTGGAGGAACACTTGCATTTTGCATTGAGCATCAAATTCTCCACCATCTCCTCTCCTACTTCTCATCATCTTCATAACCATCTAAAGATTCAACCTTTTGTTACTTCCAATGGCGTTAGCTCTCTCCGTCGCACCTACATCATCTTCTTCTTCTTCCCTCCTCTCTCGGAACCCTAACCCTTCTCCCAATTTCAGAACAACCCATCTGAATTTCGGTTCTCAAAGGAGGATTTACACCATCAATCCTCTTCTTAGATCCTTTAAATGTCTTCAATCATCCTCAAAAGACGTAAATGCGTCACCTTTCTCAATCTCAGCTATTGCTTCATCATCACAAACCACAGAGCTTGTACCACATAAGCTTCAGAGATTAGTCAAGGAATTCAAATCCTTGACAGAGCCAATTGATAGACTCAAATGGGTTCTTCATTACGCTAGTCTCGTTCCTCCGATGCCCGAGTCGTCTAAGACTGAGTCAAACCGAGTTATGGGCTGCACGGCTCGTGTTTGGCTAGAGGCTGCGTTAGGTCAAGATGGGAAGATGAGGTTTTGGGCAGATAGTGATTCAGATGTGAGTAAAGGGATGTGTTCTTGTTTGATTCATGTTCTTGATGAGGCTTCTCCTGAAGAAGTTATGGAATTGAAGACTGAGGATTTAGCTGAGCTTAATGTTGGATTGTTGGGTGGAGAGAGATCGAGAGTTAACACTTGGTATAATGTTCTGGTGAGTATGCAGAAGAAGACTCGACGATTAGTAGCGGAGAGGGAAGGTAAAGTTCCGTCCTTTGAGCCATTTCCTTCACTTGTGTTAACGGCTCATGGCATTGAAGCTAAAGGAAGCTTTGCTCAAGCTCAGGTGAGAATCTGTCTCTGTTTAATTAATCAGGTTGAATTTAAAGTGTTTAAAGTATGTGGATGAAGAAATGAGCTTTCTTTGTCAGTGTTTTTGTGTTAGTGAAGAGAGTTTTGCAGCAATGTAGATGTTACAATGGTTCGATTGAATAGTATTTCTCGTCTTTTTGAACTCGTTTGCAAGACTATACTCTGCGTCACTCGTGTCCCGATGTATCTAGATGAGTTTTGCAGAAATTTAGATGTTACAATGGTTCGAACCAATAGTATTTCTCGTCGTTTTGAACTCGTTTGCAAGGCTAGACTCTGTGTCATTCTTGTCTCGATGTATCTAGTTGAGTTTTGCAGAAATTTAGGTGTTACAATGTAAAGATTCAACTCTTTCGCAAGGCTTATACTTTGCGTCGGTTTTTAAGATTTGTTGTTTGGTTTCTGTTTTCTTACTTGCAGGCGAAATATTTGTTTCCAGAGGAGTCACGGGTTGAAGAACTTGTCAATGTGTTGAAAGAAAAGAAGATAGGAGTGGTTGCTCATTTCTATATGGATCCAGAAGTGCAAGGGGTCTTGACTGCTGCTCAAAAGCATTGGCCACATATCTCTATATCTGATTCTCTTATCATGGCGGATTCAGCTGTCACGATGGCTAAAGCTGGATGTCAGTTTATAACAGTTCTTGGTGTTGATTTCATGTCCGAAAATGTCCGAGCCATCCTAGATCAAGCTGGATTTGAAAAGGTGAAAGAGGGTCTTTATATCTTTTATCTTTTTCTTCTTTTTTTTTTGTGATAGTGAGTCCTTACATATTTTTCGGTTTTGTAGGTTGGTGTATACAGGATGTCAGATGAGACCATTGGTTGTTCACTGGCTGATGCTGCATCTGCTCCTGCTTACTTGAATTATCTTGAAGCTGCTTCTCGTTCTCCTCCTTCATTGCATGTTGTTTATATAAATACATCTTTGGAAACAAAAGCTTTTGCTCACGAGCTTGTACCTACCATTACTTGCACTTCATCTAATGTTGTACAGACGATTCTGCAGGTTTGTTTCTTGCTTTCTTCAATCTTCTTTCTTTTTTCTTCATCTTGATTTTCTAATCTCTTTCTCTTGTCTCTTGTCAATAGGCGTTTGCTCAAATGCCGGAGTTAACTGTTTGGTACGGTCCTGATTCTTACATGGGAGCGAATATTGTAAAGTTATTCCAGCAGATGACATTGATGACTGATGAAGAAATCGCCAATATTCACCCTAAACACAGCCTAGATTCCATTAAATCATTGCTGCCCCGTCTTCACTATTTCCAGGTAACTTTTGGCTTCTGTTCGTGGCAGTGCTCAAGTGTCCAAAGACGTTTTGCTTATATGATTGTGTTTCAGGAAGGAACATGTATTGTACATCATCTTTTCGGTCACGAGGTTGTGGAGAGAATAAAGTACATGTACTGTGATGCCTTTCTTACCGCGCATCTTGAGGTTCCAGGTGAAATGTTTTCACTAGCAATGGAAGCAAAGAAAAGAGAAATGGGTGTTGTTGGATCAACACAAAACATACTAGACTTCATCAAGCAGAAGGTTCAGGAAGCAGTGGACCGGAATGTGGATGACCACCTCCAGTTTGTTCTTGGAACAGAGTCAGGGATGGTAACATCGATTGTCGCGGTGATCAGAAGTTTGCTAGGTTCTTCTGCCAACTCGAAATTGAAGGTTGAAGTAGTGTTTCCTGTATCGTCAGACTCGATGACAAAAACTTCTTCAGATAGTTCAAACTCCATTAAAGTTGGTGATGTGGCACTACCTGTTGTACCGGGAGTAGCAGGCGGTGAAGGCTGCTCTATTCATGGCGGATGTGCATCATGTCCATATATGAAGGTCAGTTCTTGCTTTATCATCATTCATTTGATATGGATCGCTAAATGAAATCCCTTTGCTCCATCAAACACAAAGCTCGTGTGATAATGCAGATGAACTCGCTTAGCTCGCTCTTGAAAGTCTGCCACAAACTACCTGACTTGGAAAACATATATGGGGGATTCATAGCGGAGCGATTTAAAAGACAAACTCCTCAAGGAAAACTCATTGCGGATGTAGGGTGCGAGCCAATACTTCACATGAGGCACTTCCAAGTGAGTAACAATCAAACATCTCTATTAAAGTTTTACAGTAATGTGATTAAAATCTTGAATATATATCCCGCTTTTACAGGCGAATAAGGTGCTACCAGAGAAGCTTGTTCGTCAGGTATTAAGTTGTGAGAGCAAGAGATAACCAATTTGCCCTTAAAAGCTATGTATGAAAAAAATTGGGTGAGTTTAGTTATAAACAAATTATAGGTTTTACGTTTTGGTGGAACATGATCGTTATAGTTTCGTCCTGCAATAATTATCACAAGAATTGCATTATATTGTATACAATGATATAAACAAGAGCAGACGAAGAAATGGATATATTAGAGAAGGTAGGAGCTTATTTGGTGTATGATTATTGTTGGGGCTCTTTGCAATGTGCTTAAAATGCGGCCATTCTAACAAACTTGAAACTTTCTCTATCATCTTCTTGTTCTGTTGTAAACCAAAAAAAAAAAGAGAAAGAATCTGTGTCCGAAACAAAAAAACATATCTTTTACACACTCTTGTTTGGTCCGAGACAAGTTTATGAAGTGGAAGTCATTGTGGCTTACAAAACATATCTTTAGTTCTTTACAAACACTTTTAAATGTGAAACTTTCTTTAGAAAATAAAAAGCAAATCTGAAAGCTATAACCTATAAACTTAAAACAAGCAATCTACACCGTATTACGCAGCATCTGTTTTATATATATACATGTCCTTAATTAGTTGCTAATTAAGCGGTGTTAAAATGTTAATAATTATAACACAGTAAGCATGATCCACCCACCAATATCAATTCTAAAAATAAAATAAATACGGAAAAAAAATCTGGGCGTATGTGTTGGTAAGTTACAAACGCATCGTGTTCTCGACATGATCCGGAACAGCCCATATATGAACAAGATGTTTACGTCTGTACATAGTACCTTCGACTTCAACGCTTCTCATACTATTTCGCTTCGGATCATAATAGTAGACATATAATGTTTGGTAACTTAGTAACAACCTATTGACAAAAACGATCTCACCACTACGAGTGGCACCGGAAATGTGCCATATCTCAAAACCCTCCATTTCGTAAAAGAATATCTTAGACCATTCTTGTTTTTTCTCATCATCATTCTCCATAACCCAAATTTCCACGCCCTTATGGCAACACATGAATCCTAACTTCCCTTGGTAGTTTATCAAAGATTATTGTTGTTGGGGCTCTTTGCAATGTGCTTAAACTGCGGCATTCTAACAAACTTAAAACTTTCTCTATCATTTTCTTGTTGTGTTGTAAACCTCGAGTAAAGAAAAAAAAGTTGAAAGAATCTGTCCGAAACAAACAAACATATCTTTTACAAACTCTTATTTGGTCACTATGAAGTTGAAGTCATTATGATTTTGGGAAAGAAAAGAAAGTCAGTATTGTTGTGAACAAAGAGATTAGGAATTTTTTTTTTTTTTTTTTTTTTTTTGGTAAAAGGTTAAGTTTTATACCATTTTAGTTTTTGACAGAAGTTACAATGATTCACAAGTAGCGGAATATACGAAAAAAAACACTACGAAATTTGAAAAACAAATGAAGGCAAAAGAAGCAAACACAAAAACACAACTAGAGTAACAAACAAGCGTCAATCGACTGGGAAATAACAAGGAAGAGATCGTCTTAAACGAGCGTCGATCGCGAAGAAGCTTATTCGAATAGGATTTGGTCACGTAGTTGCCACGAGCTTTACGATCCAAGACAAGCCTCAAAGCCTTATACGCGCAGCTTACAGCTTCCCCGCAACCAAAAATTCTCATTAACTTGCAGAAAAACGATCAACCACAGTAGTGTCTTCCAGCAAACTTAGACATCTCCGGTGACTTGGGAGAAGGAACAAGGAGGTAGATGCCGCTCGAGCTAGAGAGAGAGAGGAGCTACCTCCAACCACCGAACACGAGATCACCTGAGACAAGTGGGGCATCTGGTTAGAAAGGACCGGTGACTCCGACACCAAGCCAGTGGGGTCTCCGCATCATCCTGACAACCATCCTCCTGAACCAACTCCACCATCAACGTCCAGCTTACCGAAACGAGAACCACCGTAGACAAAGCTACTCCCCTTCAATCACTGTGACCAACCAAAGACCTCCAGAACACGAAAGTGAAGCTCCTCTTGCCCAAACCTCTGCAGGCTGAACCTACAACAACGACAACAAACAACAACACACAAGCCACGACCAACTGAGCCACAACGGAGCCACGCCAAAGCCTCAAACGATAGACGGAGCCGCACAAAGCACCTCCACAAACCACGCCGCAGCCGCATGGAACAGCGCTAAAGAGGCTAGCTGAGAGCACCGTCCAGCTAGTCGCCACCACTTAGAGCCACAGGAGAGAAAAGACATTGATCCAGAAATCGATCCGACCACGGAGAGACCAATGGAAGACGAGTCAGATCCGGAGCCGTCCTCAAACTCCATCACCACCTCAGCTGACTAGCTCTCCAACCACAAAACAATCGGATCCGAATCAACCTCACCTCGAACTCAACACGAGCCGCAAAAACAGAAGCACCAAGCCGCAAAAACAGAGACTACCACACCAATCCAAACGTCTCACCAAAGCCAACACCCAAACCAGAGAGAAGGACCACCGCACGCAGAGAAGACGACAGCCAGAAACCGTGACTCTCTTTACCACCACGCAGCAGCTTCGCTCTGGAGAAACCACCCTCAAGAGACGCAGATCGAAATGGCGAGCCACGACGACCCACTAACCAAGACAACGAGGAGAAGGAAAGGCAAACAAAAGCATAAAAAGGGGCCCTCTCCGGCGCCGGAGAAGCACGCCGGAGAGGCAAACGAGAAAACAAATTAGATCTACTTTTGCTCAGAGGAAGAGAGAGGTGGGAGAAGCGCGTGGGCCTCAGATAATCGACTAAATTTTGTTTTTGTATTTTAAGAGATTAGGAATTGTTCTTGTTGTATTATCCTATACTATTATTTGGGGAGTACACTTTATAAGATAGCCTTAACTAACCTTCCCTTTTGTAAAAATTTACTTAAGAATGCCATTACAAAAATCTTTTTTTAGAACAAATTTCATTCAATTTATTAAGGATAAACAAGTAAAATACTAATTTATATTATTTAATTAATTTAATTAAATTATAAAACGAAAATGTGTTATTTTTTTTTTTAAATGACCAATCAAAATAAACATATAAGATTTGATATCTAACTTACCCTATTAATTTGTTATTAATCATTAAACTTCACCTCTCATCATAATATGATTATATTAATATGAAACAAATAAATCATCATATCATCTACATAATAAATAAAAAAAAAGTAATTTTTTAATGCATATGCCAAGATTTGAATTTTTAAAAACGCATATAAATTGTTCAATCTATAAAGGAAACAATTAAACGGGTCAAAAATTCAGACTTGAGTAATATATTTCTTTTACACAAAAATAAAGTCAACAAAAATTCCGACTGAGCAACGGGTCAGAATTTGAATATTTATATTCGATTTCATACATTTATTTTTTGAAATGTATAATTTTATATACTACAATAAAAATTTAAATATTTTAATTTGTAACATTTAAATTAAGTTTTACTTGATATTTTTAGAGAATGTCATCAATACTTAATAGTTCAAAAAGCTAAAAATTATAAATATTCTAATTTGATTATTTTTAAAAATATTTATAATAGGTAGCGGGTTAAATATAATATATTATATGATGAAATGAGTTTTGATCCTTATAACTATTTGAATAGTTATATTTAATTTCATATAATTTGTTTTTTTAAATTCATAATTTTATATACTACAAAAAAAATTAAAGATTTTAATTTGGAATATTTAAAAATAGTGTAGAACATTTAAATATGGTTTGACACCTCTAAATATTTAAAAAATTGATTCCGCAAGCAATTTTAGAATTAACGAATAATAGATTGTGCACACAATATTTTAAAATAAAATATTGAGATTCTAAAATAAAAATGTAGACTCCACGCACGGGTTGATTTTGATATTATTATATACTAAATATATGTTTATAACATATTCGATTATGCGAATAATTGGTAAATTCTGTAATTATAAATCTCAAACCAATTCTGTAATTAGATTAGCTCAAACAAATCTCTATTTCAACAACCAAAGAATTATAAATTGAAAAAGAATTTTCTAAATTAATTCAAAACAATAGCTAATTTTCTTAATTAATTCAAAAAAAAATATGTTTTATATGCGATTCATTTATGATATTTTAATTTTTGATCTAACTGAAATATATGCAATCCTATTTTGTGGTTGTTAACATAAATTAACTCATTGTTCAAAAATATTACTTTTTAAAAATAAAATTATTTTCCGTTTTCATATCTTAAAAAAAAAATTATGGGAAATTGTTAATAATGCCACTTTTTCAATGCCACTTTTCAAAAATACCCCTTTTTTAAAACCTTATAAAAAATGCTCTTAAAAATATAAGATTTACCCAAATATGTATAATATTATTAAAACATACACAAACTACATTTCTATGTATCTAAAATCTTATAAATACTTTATAAATACTTTATAAATGCATTTTAAATACCTTTAAAAACCTTTAAAATATCTTGTAAAACCTTTGAAAAACCTTAAAAATCCTTTAAAATAACTTGTAAAACCTTTAAAAACACCTTATAAAACCTTATAAATACTTGGATCGAGTCTTCAAGTAGTAGTTACAATCCATAAGTACCTTATAAGTTATAAACCTAATAAAACTTTATAAAAATTTCAGATTTAAAAAGGGGCATTTTTGAAAATGGACATCTAAAAGGGGCATTTTTAAAAAGGGGCATGAGAAAAGGGGTATTTTTGCTAATCCCCCAAAAATTATCCACAATTGAGTATTATAGAAAAAAATATATATTTATTCTAATATTGTATATAGGGACTGACAAAAAAATTAATATTTTTTCATTTACTATTATAATATACTAGGACTCAGGATCCCCGCGATGTCGCGGGGGAATATATTTCAAAAATCATTTTAAAAAATATTAAACGAAAAAATCATAATGAATTGTAATAATTTTGAATTTTTTTTTAATAACAAATCAATATATATTTTACTAAAAATTATGATGAAGAAAACCCTCACAAGCATTTATTAAGTATATTAATATTAGAAAAATAATAATTTGTAACTAAAAAACTATTCCCAAGTGCAAAAAGCATAAACTAATAAACCAAATATTACAATGGTTTGATAAATAAGCCAAAATGTTCAACGTCAAATAAACCAAATGCTATTGTATTAAATTAAACGGTATCAACAATTCATTTCAATATATTTTAGTATTTAAATATTTTTAAAAAATATGACGAATTTATCCGAGAAACGCAACCGTAGATATCAAATATTCCAAAAACTGCAACGGTTCGTCAATTATACCAAATGTTGCAATAGTTCATCAAATATACTAAAGATAACAATGGTTCGTAACACAAAACCAAAAGTTGCAATAATTCGTCAAATAATCCAAATATTGAAACAGTTCAATTAAATGGTTACAATCTCATTTAAATACATTTTAGTAATTAAAAATTAAGAATTAAAATAATAATTTATGAAAAGTTACACCGAGAGACGCGGCGGTAGATAATTAAATGTTATAGCTATTTATAAAATAAACAAAAAATTGCAATTGTTCGTGAAATAAACTAAATATATAAACCAAAGGTTGCAATTGTTCGTAAAATAAACTAAATATTGCAATGATTCGAATAAGCGGTTTCAACTGTTCATGAAGAGTTACAATAAAAAAACGCAACCGTAGAAAAAATTCAGAATGCAATTTATAAAAAAAAACATAACCGTAAAATATATATTTTAATTAATAAAAACATTAACGAAAAGTTGCGATAAAAAGACGCAACCGTTCAGATGTGCAAATGATATTTATTAGATTGCTATTATATATAGATTTTCTAATATATATATTATATAAATTTTGTAATAAATAAAATTCAACCCGTACTTTTAGTACGGGTGATGATCTAGTACATATATATAGGGGAAACAAAATTAGAGTTTTATCTTGGAGTAGTTTGTTTAGTATTTCTTAAATTATACATTATTACTTAAGTTCAAGACCAAGAGCAAGATTCAAAGAAAATGGAGCTTTAAACTGAATTTAAAAGTTGTTGTCGCTCTTTTTTTTTAATACACAATTCAAATGTTATTAATTATAAAAAATAAACATGCAAACTTGTTGTGTTGAAATGTCTACAGCCTTATAAATACTAAAAATGATTAATATAAACATTTATTTAAGAATTTGACTTATGAAGGCAATTCTTAGAATTTATGAAAGGGATCATTCGTCTTCATGAATAACCATGCGTCTTCATGGATAGAAACTAATCTTGTTGGATCAAGAGATCAAACTCAACAATGACTTGTGGAGTATATATGTAAGACTTGTGAAGTTGGTTAATTATCCAATCAATGTGCGTATTTTGGCTTGAGATAATTAATTCCCCCATTATCTTCAATTATTCAATAGAGATGAAATTTATAACATATGGTATTAGAAATTATGTTATCTTTTCTACTGCTTTCCGCTTGACAAAGTGGTGGAAGGAGGATCAATTATTGTATGTATAACTTGAAAATATTGCTAATGGAGCCTTTAGTTATGGTAAGCATCATTTTTACGTAAGTTGGTCTTCGTAACATGCCAATATGACAAAGAATGAATTATGCTATACAATATGTGGATATAAAAAATAGTTTATCAAAGTGCAACGATGATCCATCATTGTCTTTGGAGCCTCGACCTGATCAAATTTCTCGGACCTAACATCAAAACACATCAATACATACGTAGAACCATATTCTATAGTCTTTGCTTGGTATAATAGATAGTTCCCTTGATGCAAACTGGAGGTAACAATGGTAAGTGAAGTCCAAAGTTATATTGGATTTTCCTCCACTTCCTTGTGGGATCTCCCACTGTGAAAACATGACAAGACCACCTCATATAATTTTGTAGGCATATTACTTTGTATTGATTCTTGAAAGGGTCGTATCCTAAGAAGGAAGTGCTCAAATGGAGGTTCCCGGCCGCAGTTTCCATTTCCGGTAAACAAAGGGACTGCCTCGTGGTCGGGTTATATATAGCTGCCTCAGGATAGACTGTCGACCAACAAAAAATCAAGCCGTGGACGTATTGATATAATCCCCAAAGTATTGACACTGATTCTTTGTCAATATTTCTAGGGTAAGTAGAGGAAAAGATAAAGAAATCTGTTCTAGGGAATTTGTTGACTGAAAGGTGGTGGAAAATGAGATGAGTATCACGACTAGGCTGAGACAAAGAACGAGTCACGATCGAGTCAATGAAGTCTCTACTGCTGCCTATAATTGATGCAAATTGTTTTGAGACGCATTGGAACCTTACGAGAGACTTTGCAGGGAGTTTCTTGAGTATTTCCACCGTTAGATCGAGAGGAATATTGATATCTTCGGCGGTGGAGATTTCCTGACAGTGAAAACGTTTAGCCGGCAATGGTGAGGTCTCGTCTTTGATCTCTTCGTTTCCTCTCTTCATTTCGACTTTTTTTGTTCTGTAAACCCTAAATCCTAATTAACATGATCTACAACACTTACATAACCTTTGGTGGTATTAATAAACCCTAATTAATATGGATTTTGTGAAAAAAGAAGTTTACCCTTAACTTACAGAAAATGTAAATTAACCCCACAAAGTCAAATTTAACCCACAATATAACCCTCGATTACCACTTTCAATTTTTTCAATTTATGATAAATAATATCTCAAATCAACACCCTTTCGATGAGAAACCTAAATCTACTATATTATAATTTTAAAACACTAATGTATGTGACTGTACCAGCTCTTCAAAATACACAAGGGTTATACTGCACATTAAATTCGACTTCGTAGGTTTGATATGCATTTTTTACAAGTTGAAGGTAAACTTGCAAAAGAAAAATTATTTGTAAGTTTTTTTTGCAGAAAGCCCTAATATTTTTTTTTTTTTGAATTGAATGAAATTTATTACCAAAAACCTTTTTTACAATAGATGCATCAGTTTGTTTAAATTTTTAGAAGAAAATACTAGAAGGAAAAATCTGAGAATAAAATGCAGAGAAATCTTGCTTAAGGAGGAGATCGAGTAGAGAACCATAACATGAGGCAGTTGTCATATTTATGGTCTCCTGTATCCCGAATTGAGCTGATTCTATTTCGCACATTCTTGTCAATTAACTTGATGAGGCAGGCTGTGGGCGAATTGAAAGCCCTAATATTAGAAGAAGAAGAATTTTATCCTACAGATTTTAAGAATCTGTATTTGAGCTTTAATTCAGCGTCCGTAGCGTTGAGAATACGCGGATAGTGTTCTTTTAGCAAGCTCACATGAGGTGTTCCTAAAATCTATTTTTGAAAAAAAATTGACCAATACACTCAAATGAACCTTAGAGAAACAATTATATACGGTAAGAAACATTTCATCAAATGCAAGTTCTTTGAGGGAAAGAACAACACAAGACAAGAGTATACACGCCCATCCATTTGGAAACACACGACACATCGAGTTATCAAACCAGTGTTGAAACTGTTTTATAATCATGTCCATGTGCAAACGTACCCGTTTTTATCAGCCGATGCCAATGGTTTCCCGATCCCGCTCCAAGAACAACACAGTATAGGAGATGTTTGCTCCTTGAGAATGCTCACTATATTGCCTTTAGATAGTGACCATACATGAACCGTCCCATCTGCAGATCCCGCAGCCACATAATCATCATCTGGACTTATACATGACCGGCTCCAATTCGATGCCAATCTGTTCCCTGATGCTCTCAATGTCCCACATATTTCCAAAGTCCGGGTATCGAATACATTATGCACGTTGTCTCTTCCACTCGTCAAGATCCTATTTCCGTTCCGGGACAATGATACCGAGGTCACAGCAGAAGAATGTCCAGCTACTTCGGACAGAAGTTTCCCAGTTTGGATATCCCATAACCTAAGATTCCCATCCATGTGGCCTGAGAATACCGTAAGCCCATCTATGCTGAGGCAGATTGCGTTGCAGTTACTGGTAAAGAGTACTGTGTTAGTGCAGTAACCTTTGTGCAAATCCCAAAGTTTTATGGTACGGTCATATGCTGCACTGACAACATGTCGGCTAGAGAATTTGCTCACATCCACAGCACAAACCTTATCGGTGTGGCCTGTGAGTGTATGGCGTACCCTACCCGAGCTTACATCCCACACAAACAAATTGTTTGAGCTGGTTGCTGCGATCACAGATTTATTGTCGTGGGTTACGGCCATATCAAGTATATTCCCAAGGGAACCGTATAAGCTTTTGATTAAAGCCCCGCTATTGGTGTCCCACATTTTTACTGCTCGGTCTTGCCCACCAGTAAACAGAGTACCAGAGTTGTATTCAAAGATTATTGAACCACAGCCACCTTCATGAGCATGGATACGGTGCCCACATGTTGACGGAATGGTTGATTCAACAAAGTGATCGGTTCCATCTTCATTGCGGCGGACAATGCCATCAACTTGCTGCCGAGCAAGAGTTTCCAAACCATTTGCCTTTAGCTTAGCTAACATTTCTTCATAGAGATCATTTGCCTAAGTAAGAAAAAGAATTAAGGCCATCCTACCCAAATCGAAAAAAGGGGACGAATAAACTCTACCATTAGAGACTCTCATGAAAAAAAAGTCCCTATGTACCTCGTTAAGACGTTCTGCATCCTGCATCTTCTGCAACATCCACCGATCAATTAACATTTTATTCTCAGACTCTGCTTTTTGCACTCTATTTGTCATCTCTTCCAGCTGAGACCGGACTTCTTTGTTTTCAGCAATAAGTATATCCACCGTCTTGGTCTTTTCCTCTAACTCTTCTTGTAATTGTACACACTCCTCCCTACAGAACAACTCCAGTTTTTAGAATCACACAACTTAATTCTTCACAGCTACTGCAAAACCATTCTTACCTTCTTTGGGTTAATTCCTTCTGCAAATCATTAATTAACAACTCCTTTTCTTGTAAAATAGCCTTTGAAGTTCTGGATTCAGCTACTTCTATCACAAGTTGCTCAGACAGTCGGGATTGAGCTTTGTAACATTGCTGTAACTCTGTTTCCAGTTTTTCTGTTTTCTCCTTCCATTCTGACCCCTGCATACAAATTCTCAAACCAGATCAGGAAATGTTTCCAAATATCCTAGAGCATAAAGGTAGACAGGACCAAAACTACTGAGATGCTGAACCAAAACAAAAGGATTAAATATTTAACTGAAGCAAGCATGGACTTAACTAAAACTACATGTACTTTTATACTACTAAATGACAAAACAGTATAAAAACATAACTAAACGACGAGCCGATTAGAGAACCGAGAAATGGATCAGGGTTTCATCCATTGCAGGAGATCACAAGCAGAGGTCTCAATAAACTCACAAAAATCAACTGAACAAACATATTGTGAGCTACAGTTTTTCTGAAATCCAATGAAAACGCACAACAAGAATTAAAAGAAGAACCTTTACTCTTCCAACTACTTAGAAACATAACATTTCCATAGTGCAAATTATATGAAAGAACCTAAATCTTCCAATGTTCACTAGCAATTGGTATATTTTTGGCGAAATCTGAAGCAATAGAGAAAGGAACAAACAAAGTTACCACCTGAGAGATTATAGGCCTAGAGAGAGCAGAAATCGCAGGAGCATGAGCTCCTTCCTCTAAAAGATGACGCTTCCGCAAAGCTCTCAAAGCATCCTTTATGGCTTCCATAGCTTTCTCCTCCTGTAACCTGAAGAAAGTTCCGACGATCATCGGAATCGAAATTTCAACAATCGTAAAAAGCTTATTGAACAAGAAAGGAGATCGAATCAAGACTTACATATCTCGATCAGATCAAAAGGAGTCGTGGAGTTAGGAATTAGGGTTTGAGTATAACAGGAGACTTTGATCGGAACCGGTGGCGACTTGAGTTTCCACCGCCGCTTACGATTCTCAAATTAGCAAAATAACAAAACTGCAAGTGAATTTGGGGAAATTCCCCACAAAATTAGTTTATTGAAAATTGATTATAATCAGATTTTGTATTAATGATTGATTATCTTAAAAGATTTACGATCATTATTTTTTTAAAATAATTTTCCTACATAATTGTACCGTTTTACGTGAAGTTATGTTAGTTGCAAAATCAAATATCAGTTTATTGGGCCTATAAAAGCCCATTTACATTTTTTTCCTGAAAAGAGAAGATCACGTCATGATCCACGTGGCAACCAACTCTGGAGATGAACACAACGAACACAGATCATCAGAGAAGAAACTAGAATCTAAAAAAAAAAGTTTATAAAAAAAACGAAAAAAGCAAAAGAAAAAAAAAAAAAATGAGAGCTCAGATTTTATTATGCCCAACATTAACATTAGCTGCATATGGTCGTCTCTATTGTGCGCCACGTAGACTTCACCGCTACAATTCATCATCGTCTCAGTTTCTGAATCTCAGTCTCTCTCGCTTCTCCGGTGGTCTCTTCACCTCCTTCTTCCACATGGAGGTAATAGCTCTCGACTTGAATCTCTGCTTCAGTTTATTCCCAACACTTAGAAATTGTTCTGAAATGGGTTATTTGGTGTTACTCTGTGTTGTGACTGATTTTGTGCTTATAGACGATTTTTAATATGTTGGTTTGTTAGCAATTTCAGAGTGGAACTAGCTCGAGTGGCAAGAAAGCAATGGTGGAAAATCTGAAGCGGTACGGTGTGATATCATCGAAGAGAGTAGCTCAAGTTATGGAAGCTTTAGATAGAGGTCTCTTTGTACCAGTTGGATCTTCAGCTTATGTTGATAGTCCTGTACCTATAGGTTATAATGCTACCATTTCTGCTCCGCATATGCATGCCACTTGCTTGCAGCTTTTGGAAGATAAGCTCCAGCCCGGGATGCGTGCTTTGGATGTTGGTTCAGGTTACTTTTACTCGGTGTTATTGATATGTTGGTATCGAGTTTGGGGACTCGGGATAACAATTAGGTTGTGTTTGTAGGAACCGGGTATTTGACTGGCTGTTTTGCTTTGATGGTTGGAGCTGAAGGACGCGTTGTTGGTGTGGATCATATCCCTGAATTGGTTGATATGTCAATCAAGAATATTGAGAAGAGTGTCGCTGCTTCCTTGCTTAAGAATGGATCTCTCTCCCTACATGTCGGTGGTAGGTACCCGCTTTCCGACTTCAAAACATTGTATGTGGACTAGAACTTTACCTTATAAGAAAAATCATCTTTTGACTCATTTGTATCTTATGGCAGATGGAAGAAAAGGTTGGCAAGAGTTTGCACCGTATGATGCAATACACGTAGGAGCAGCGGCATCAGAAATCCCGCAGCCCCTTCTGGATCAGCTAAAACCTGGTGGGCGAATGGTGATTCCACTAGGAACATATTTTCAAGAGCTCAAGGTAATCGACAAAAACAGAGATGGTTCCATCAAGGTACATACCGAAACTTCGGTCAGGTATGTGCCCCTCACTAGCCGCGATGAACAGATAGGAGGATTTTGACAACAACAACGAGAAAACTCTACATCCCACGTCTTAGTGTACATATAAAGGTTGTGTAATGTTCTGTAATATGTTTTGATGGGTAATAAAGAATGTTTACAAAAGCTTGAACTCAAGTTTGGTTTCACATAATCGCTACACTGGAACTGTAAGGGAGAACATTTAGAATCACAAATCACAATATTAACACTCATTGAGCTATCAAAATCCACGCCTTGTTCGTTCCTGAGCCACGTTCACTTTAATTGCTCGGCCTTCCAAATTCTGTAAACACAGAGCAATTAGATAACAGAAAGCAAAAAGGTCACAAGAAGATAACCATAAACTCATGGAGGCGTGTTTTCCTTTACCTGTCCATCAAGAGCAGCAATAGCGTCGTTAACTTCATTCTCATTCGACATTGTAACAAACCCAAACCCGCGTGAACGACCTGTCTCTCTATCGTAAACCACTCTAGCATCAACTACTTTCCCATGCTCGCTAAACACTTGTTGTAAACGATCATTATCCACATCCCATGGCAGATTCCCAACATAGATCCTAAACGCAGCATCATATACACGAGGTTGTCTTTCCGGTCTTGATCCTCTAGGTGCTGCTATGTTCACTGTCAGAAGCCTCCCATTCACTTCCTACAGTTGTATACCAATCAACTTCAACATCTTTAATCACTATCCAGAAGATTAAGAAACAAGAAAATGATTAAATTTGCTTACATAACGATTGAACTTCTCAACAGCTTTCTTTGCTTCTTCAACTGTACTCATTGTTACAAACCCAAATCCACGACTTTGATCAGTGTCCCTATTGTATATAACCTGCAAAAACCAGATGTTAAAGCAGACCCATGAAACAAAATCATTCCTTTTAAGACAAATCACACTATAAAAGTATAAAACCAGATTTCAAAGCAGACCCATGAAACAAAATCATTCCTTTAAGACAAATCACACTATAAAACCAGATTTCAAAGCAGACCCATGAAACAAATTCATTCCTTTTAGACAAATCAAACTATAAAACCTGATTTAAAAGCAGACCCATGAAACAAAATCACACCTATAAAACAAATCAAACAATGAATTCGAAACCCTAAACTAACTTTATCAAAAAGTAAAAATGCCACAGAAACAATTAGTTCCACATTTCTCAGCTATTTGGCTTCAATGTCAAAAAGCACAAGTTAGCAATTTACCTCTGAAATCTCAACAGTACCAGCTTGCTCAAAGAGCATAGCCAAAGCTTCACTATCAACATCGTACGGCAAGTTTCCGACGAACAATTTAGCCTCTTCAGGTGGCTCTGGGAAGTCACCACCGTCTTCAGACTCGAAACTCTCATCTACAGTGACGGAAGTACCTCCGATGCTTCCATCCTCACCTTCTTCTTCCTCAGGCCAATCAGAAGTTTGGGAAACGAAGGTAACAATAGGAGATGAGTTACGGAGAGTTTTGGATTTGAGAGAGAGTGGGAGATTAATGGTTCGTGAAGGGAGGGAAAAATTGGAACGGTGAGATTTGGAGGAAGAGATGTTGAAGATGGAAGGAATACAGAAAAGGGTCGAAGAGGAAGAATTCGTCATAGCTAAAAGCTTTAGGCTTGAGGTTAGTATTGAAGAAGTCATTTTCTGATTTTGGAGAGATTACAGGTGAAGAGGAAGAAGAGTGAGAGAGAGGGGTTGCAAAAATTTCCTTCTTTGTGTGAAAAAAAAAAAAAAGAAAAAAGAAAAAAAAAAGGATGTTATAATCTTTGATTAGACTAAAGTATATTAGGCTAACTTTTTTACATAAACGGTCATCTCATATTGGGCCTTACTTGACCCATTAGGCTTTTATATTTCCTTATTCACACCGACCTAATCCACCAAAATTAAGACTATATATATATACACAATGAGACGTTTCTAGCAAGATCTCTTTCCTCGATCTTAGATCTTAGCCACAATCTCACTAGGGTACTTTGCTACAGGATTAAGATCGGCTCTCTTGTTTTTGAGAAAGGTTCTAACTTGATCGCAGTTAGGTTGTGTTTATCTTTGTAGCTACGAATTTCCACCTATGGATAGGCAATCGAGAATGGAGTCAGAAAATTTTAGGGTTAGGGCTTCTGATGATGAGGACCGTCAGAGCTCTCGACTTTATATTCCTTCGTTTAAGCTAGCAAGCGTGTTGAATGATGAGAAAGATAAGAGTAGCTTAGAGTATCAACGTCTTACATGGGATGCTCTTCGTAAAAGTATTAACGGGCTCGTTAATAAGGTTAACGCAACCAACATCAAGAACATAATCCCTGAACTTTTTGCTGAAAATCTCATCAGAGGAAGAGGACTTTTCTGTCGTGCTTGTATTCAGTCTCAAATGGAATCTCCTGGATTCACTGACGTTTTTGCAGCTTTAGTTGCGGTTATCAACTCAAAGTTCCCTCAAGTTGCTCTGCTTTTAGTGAGAAGAGTTGTTTTGATACTAAAGAGAGCTTATATGCATAACGATAAGCCTCAGTTTCTTGCTGCTGTTAAATTCGTAGCACATTTAGTAAACCAGCAAGTGGCTGATGAGATCATTGCTTTTGAATTACTCACTGTGCTTTTGGAAAGCCCGACTGATGCCAGAGTAGAGATGGCTATTGCGTTTGTGATTGAGTGTGGCGCGTTGCTGCAAGACGTTGCACCAAAAGGATTACATGGGGTTTTTGAGCGGTTTCGCGGTATATTGCATGAGGGAGATATAGATAGGAGAGTTCAGTATTTGATTGAAGCACTCTTTGCTATTAGGAAAGCGAAGTTTCAGGGATATCCCGCGGTTCGCGCTGAGCTTGATCTCGTGGAAGAAAAGTATTCACATGATGTCTCTCTTTATGAGGAAATTGATCCTGAAACTGCTCTTGATGTTTTCAAACTTGATCCTGACTTTATTGACAAGGAACAGAAATACGAGGCGCTGAAAAAAGAGTTACTTGGTGAGATTGGTCTTGGAGGCATTACAGAGAATCTCAGAGAGTATTTGAAGTACATGCAACATCAGAAGCAAGTTGCGGAATCAGAATCAGGATCTGACAGTCCTGGCTCCTGAGTCAGACTCATCAACTTCTTCTAGTTCGGATGAAAGCAACAGAGAGAAGAAGAAGCGAACAAGAAGATCTTGAGACTGCTTTGTTTGTTATCTCCACCAAAATTCTTGAACAAGAAGCTTTACTTGTGTGACAAGTTTCAACCTTGTTTCCTTTTCTCTATTGTTCATCTTTTCCATTAGTTTGCTTTACCTAAATTTTCCTTTTTGTTTGGTTATTCGATCTCTATTTAAAGAGACTCATATTCTCTTTTTTTGTTTCAGCTTTTAATAAATAATATTGAAAGAACTTTCTTCTCAAACCATTCATTGATTTCGATATAGAGAAAGACTACTTCACGGACATTCGAGGTGAGTTAATTTCTACTTTTACTTGTGTAGAAAGCAAGGGTTATATTATTTCAAACCCTAATTAACACCTAACTTACTTTCGTAGCTTTCTCTTCTGTTAGATTGATGTCAGAAATCACAAGAGAAACAACGATGATCTTCGATCTCCCACAAAATCTGATAGATGAGATATTTTCAAGGGTTCCGATGATATCTCTGAGACAATTACGGTCTACATGCAAACGATTGAACAACCTATTCAAACATCGGAGATTCATCAAAAAGCAAATTGCTTATGCCAAAGCTACAAGGCAGTATCATGTTCTTATGGTGGTAAACTTTAGGGTTTATGCAATGTGTTCCTATATCCATGAAATTAACATAAACGTTGCTCCCTTGTTTAAACGAGGACTTAACCTAATCGATCCTGATCGTAAATCAGAAGTCGATTTATCTCAAGCCTTTCATTGTGATGGCATATTGTTATGCTGCACCAATGGAAACATGTTTGTGGTTTGGAACCTGTTTTCAGGGAAAACTACATGGATCGAACCAAAAAATTATCTCAAGATAGAAGACAATGTCTATGCTCTTGGATACGACAACAATGAATTGTGCCATAGCTACAAAATCATGAGGTTTCTGCATAAATACCTCAAAAGATTGGAGATCTATGAGTTTAGCTCTAATTCATGGAGGAATATTCGTGTCACCATTCCTAAAGGCTGCTTGAAATCTCGAGGCGTGTCTTTGAAGGGAAATGTTTATTGGTTGTTTAAACTTAGAGAAGTCAATGAGTACTCTCTACTTAGTTTTGATTTTTCGACGGAAAGATTACAACGTTTGTGTGTTCCCTTTCATCAGGAAGCAGCTTGTTCCAAAGAAGATTGTTTCAATGAAGATTGTGTCCATGATACTATGGCTCTATCGGTTGTTAGAGAAGAACATCTTTCGTTGTTATTTCAGAGTGGAGTGACACAAAAGATGGATATATGGATTACCAATGAGATTAAGACTACATCTGTACTCATGGAACAAGTTCTTAACAGTGGATTTTAAACCTCATCCCCATATGTTTTCGCGTGGCATGAGTTTTTTCATTGACGAGGAGAAGAAAGTTGCCGTGTGTTGTGAGAAAGACCAAGAGAATAATATATTCAACAAGGTATACATTGTTGGAGAAGATGAATACAAAGTATCTCCGGGTTTTGGTTTTCATGAGTATAGAGGCATATATAATTGCCCAACTATGTTTGGTTATGTTCCAAGACTACTTTAAATCTAGCAACATTATTTATTTCTTTTGTTATATAGAGACTAGAGCCAAAGACTTTTTTTTGGGCTCAAATTATGCTTTAATATACTCCAAATTGTTAGCTCGTTGAGCATATATAATCTTTCAATTGACAGATTTCACTAGAAAAATGAACCTGTGAATACCTTATGCTGTCTTTTCAATTAAAGTTTGGCCATTCCATTTATTTTTCTCAAAAAAGAAGTATGAGAAAATCGTTGGATTATCGGTTACACATTTTAGAAGCAAACGCAATTCATGACACTGCATCCTCTTTGTTAGTGATGTGCGTGTTTGATGTGTGTGTCCTCGTTTATCTTTTTTGTTTCTTTGCTTTTCACTTTAACCTTTGTTAAGGCTTTTTCCCAATATTAGTTAAAGCACATACACTTCCCACCACTTTCCTTCTTTTCTTTCTGAAATTTAGCACTCATATATAGTCCTCTTTTGACAAATAGTATCATCTTTCTTAAATTTGAGATCTCTCTTTAGTCTTTGAACAACAGTTATTGTAATGTCTTTTAGTTGAATGACATAAGTTAGGCCAAAATAATGAGTTCAAACTTCAAAAGCGTTGTTGAAATTTAAAATCAGTGACTAAAAATGAACTCTATAATGGATCGGCTCCAGAAAACCATAATCATTAATTAGATATCATATGACAAATGTTAAACCAGTTTTGAACTGTATGAAACTATCAATTGTGAATATCATGTTTTTTTTTTAATGCTGTTTATCTTTATAAGTTACAAATAAAATATTTATGTGTAGAGATAGATTTCAAATAAATAAAGGATATTGAAAAAATTACAAGAGAAAACATAATTCTTACTAATATATATTGACAAACAAATGAAAAATAAGAATATAAAGAAACACACGAAATGTTAATTTCGAAATAGAAGAAAATGATTACTAAAAGCCATCACATACCAAACAACTTTGTTCTCTTATTATCGTTAAAAAAAAAATTACATAACTAGTTTAGTCACACACGGCTTTTCCAAATTATCATATGGATACATATTTGTAAAAGAAAAAAAATACATAATCACTATAATTAACCATAGGTAGGTTACATCAATAAAAGAGTTCCTATTAAAGATAAATTGTTGCGTACAAGTTGTGCTTTGATCAATTATCAGTATACGTGGTTCATATGAAAATGTTAGTTTACACTTATAATTAAATCATCTCATCACCGAATGTTTCCCAAAATCATCAATTATTGTTACCAAAATTTAAGAAAAATAAAATGAAAGAGCTTACTTGTACCATTAAATCAACATAAAGTTCAATTATAGTTTGATCTTTATGTATCTCCATTAATTAATGTATCCATGTCATTAACCTTGAAATCTTTGTTGAATCCCACAAGTAATCCTTTAACCCCTTTTGGTATTTTTCATTACATATTGTCATCACAATAATCTCTATTTAAGCACTTTCTCTTTAGTCCTTACCATCCACAAAACTTAATCTCAATCACAACAAAATACAAAAATCACCATAGACAAAATATGAAGCGATTTATTGTTCTTGCGCTTTGCATGCTAATGGTTCTTGAAACCACAAAGGGTTTAGATTTCCATGACAAAGATGTGGAATCAGAGGATAGCTTGTGGGAGCTATACGAACGGTGGAGGAGCCACCACGCAATAGCTAGGAGCCTTGAAGAGAAAGCTAAGAGGTTCAACGTGTTCAAGCACAACGTTAGGCACATCCACGAGACCAACAAGAAGGACAATTCTTACAAGCTCAAGCTCAACAAGTTTGGTGACATGACTAGTGAAGAATTTAGGACAACATACGCTGGTTCAAACATCAAACATCATAGGATGTTTCAAGGCGAAAGACAGACCACAAAGAGCTTCATGTATGCAAATGTAGATACTCTCCCAACCACCGTTGATTGGAGAAAGAATGGAGCCGTCACTCCTGTTAAAAACCAAGGCCAATGCGGTAAAACTCTTCTTCTCATTGATGCTTTAATCTAAAAGAGATATGTAAAATGAGAACCAAAACAAGATTAATTAGGTTTGTGGTTATTACAGGGAGTTGTTGGGCGTTTTCAACAGTTGTGGCTGTGGAAGGAATCAACCAAATAAGAACGAAAAAGCTGACATCACTATCAGAGCAAGAGCTAGTGGACTGCGATACGAACCAGAACCAAGGATGCAATGGAGGTTTGATGGACCTTGCTTTTGAGTTCATTAAGGAGAAAGGAGGACTCACAAGCGAGCTAGTGTACCCTTACAAAGCTTCTGATGAAACTTGTGACACAAACAAAGAAAATGCTCCGGTAGTTTCAATCGATGGACACGAAGATGTTCCTAAGAACAGTGAGGATGATCTAATGAAAGCTGTTGCTCATCAGCCTGTCTCTGTTGCAATTGATGCTGGAGGCTCAGACTTCCAATTCTACTCGGAGGTAAGAACACACAACACTAAAGTAATTAAGTTCAAAACTTTTTTTTTGTCTTAACGCATGGAATGGTGTCATAGGGAGTTTTCACGGGGCGATGCGGAACAGAGCTGAACCATGGAGTTGCGGTAGTTGGCTATGGAACGACGATAGATGGAACAAAGTATTGGATTGTTAAGAACTCTTGGGGAGAGGAATGGGGAGAGAAAGGATACATAAGAATGCAAAGAGGGATTCGTCACAAAGAAGGACTTTGTGGTATTGCAATGGAAGCTTCTTATCCTCTCAAGAACTCCAACACTAATCCTTCAGGACTTTCCTCGGATTCGCTTAAGGATGAACTCTAAAAGCTCTTTATATTTACTTATTTAGATTAAAAAGACATTGACAAGTTTGTTTATGATGCTTGTTTGATTTTTTAATATATATCTTCATCGTTAATAGGTTGTAATGGTTTTCAATGTATGAATGGGAATCGTTTGAATTCATTAATGAATAAATGTTTTTACGTAAGTATCCATAAACCAAAACAAAAAACACTAATTTAGATTCAAGAAAGCAGTCTTCAAAATCATCCCACTCGATTAATTTTTTAAAGGAAATCTAACGCGGTGAATAGCAAAGCAAATATTTCGAGTCTTTATGTGCCTAAACATCCAAACAGTGACAAAATCGGAAGTCATTAGAAGACCACATTTTGCAACAAACTCCTTCCATCCCGTAGTTAACACAGGTGTTTTATCCCCATTCCAGAACTTGAACTTCATCTGTTGAACTTTTCCGTCTGGTCCATACACCGAAACATCAACCCCCTTTACCGGATTCTCTGATTCTTCTAGAAAAGGAAGCATCTTCTCCTTCACTTGCTCCTTAGATAACATGAGCCTGCTTTGATCTTTATCGACGTCGCTCGACATCAACTGCTTCTTTATCGGTTTGCTGAATTGCCTTGTCACCTCATTATCGCCGAATATTTCATGTGGATCGATTTCAGCTTTGTACCATACCTCAATTGACCTCCGAGTCTCTTCTGAAAAGTCTTTGATATTTATTTTCATGATATTCTGTTTCTTAACCCTCTTAGGTTGATTTTTGTCAGATTTTTCTTCCCTCTTCCTAGACTTCTTTTGATGAGCTTGGCTTACCTGTAATAATGGAGTGGACGCAAACTCATCATATGTATCGTCTTCATCATCTATATTCTCTTCATCATCTGTATCTTCTTCTTCTGGTGACTGTCTTTGATATCGAGGTTGATATTGGTTCAATTCTATCAATAATTCTGCAGCCACATTAACTTCCTTTTGTGTTAAACTTGTTGTTTCACCTGTTGAAGTCGCCATGATCGATCTCTCACGTTTTCTCTATCTTTTCTTGCTTCTCAGCTACGTATTAAGGGTTTGTTTTTTCTCTTCTTTCTAGCAAATCAATTTCCTTTTTATACTTAGGTTTTTCCATTTAAATTGTATTTTTCTTTTATTAAAAATAACATGGAATATATCAAAGCAATTTCTGGGTCGGTTGGACACTATGTTTCATAAACGATGGGCTTTATCCTAAATGTGTTTTATCGAGTCTTGAAAGTTGAAACCATCGAATGGGTAAACTATGAAGGAACAGAACCAGAGAAAGAACTGGTGGAATTTATCAAATTTATTAGGAAAAGGTATTAGAACGTCTTTTTTTTCTTCAAATTTAGCTCTTTGAATATCTCATGTTCTTGTTCTGGCTCTCTGTTTACTAGAAGAAGCTAAAGAAACTTAAGAACTATTATGTGTTTCTTCGTTGGTTTATCTGCATCATTAACTAATTATAACATTTAAGTCAGTCTCACGTCTTTTGCTTTTAAATTGTGAAATTTGAGTCTTCGCTTCGCTAGAAAGTGGAAGCTGAGCCATGTCCATGGCGTCGTCTTCTTCTCTTGCGACCCAATCCTTTTATACTTCATTTCCTCTACCTCACCGACTTCACTTCCATGAACCATATCTTCTTCTTCGCTCTTCACTTTATCGAAAACCCATTCTTTGTCTCTCTGCTAGTTCTTCCCCATCGTCATCTTCTTCTTCTTCCATTTTCCTCTCCTGCTTCGATGACCCTTTACCAGATAAGATTCAACAACCAGAAAATTCGACAAATATTAACCAAGAAGATGAAGATGAAGAAGAAGAAGAAGAAGGAGATGATTCCACAGACCCAATTCTTAAATTCTTCAAGTCACGAACTTTAACATCGGAATTGACCCAAGACCCAGCTCGTGAATCCAAATTCTCCCTCCAGAAGAATCGTCGAACTTCGTGGCGCTTGGCTTCAGACTTCGCTGACCCCGGAACGGAGATCGATTCCGAGCCTGAGGAATCCGTCTCTGTGACAAACCAACAAACACTTGGTGTGCATACTCCATTCGAAAGTGGCGTCGCTGGGGAAATCCTGGAACTTGCTAAGAATTTGAAAGAGAATCAAACTTTGGGAGAGATGTTATCAGGTTTCGAAAGAAGGGTTAGCGAAACAGAGTGTGTAGAGGCATTGGTGATGATGGGTGAATTTGGTTTTGTGAAGAGTTGTTTGTATTTCTATGAGTGGATGAGTTTGCAAGAACCTTCCCTTGCTTCACCTCGTGCTTGTTCTGTGTTGTTTACATTGCTCGGTAGAGAAAGAATGGCTGATTATATTCTGCTTCTGCTAAACAATTTACCAGACAAGGAAGAGTTCAGAGATGTTCGTCTCTACAATGCCGCCATTTCTGGGCTTTCAGCTTCTCAAAGGTATGTGCTTTTTCTTCATTGTACGATGATCCAGTTCTGGAGAATGAAAAGTTGTAGTCTTTGGTTAAATTGTCTAGTTGGTGTTCTTTTGGTTAGGTTTGATGATGCTTGGGAAGTGTATGAAGCAATGAATAAGATCAATGTTTATCCGGACAATGTTACATGTGCGATAATGATCACAACCATGAGGAAAGCAGGACGAAGTGCGAAAGAAGTTTGGGAGATATTCGAGAAGATGAGTGAGAAAGGTGTGAAGTGGAGTCAGGATGTTTTCGGTGGCCTTGTGAAATCGTTTTGTGACGAAGGGTTAAAAGAAGAAGCTCTTGTGATTCAAACAGAGATGGAGAAGAAAGGTATCCGTTCAAACACGATTGTGTATAATACGTTGATGGATGCTTACAACAAGTCCAACCGCATAGAAGAAGTGGAAGGACTTTTTGAAGAAATGAAAGCTAAAGGCTTGAAACCTACAGCTGCGACTTATAACATTCTTATGGATGCTTATGCTAGAAGGATGCAGCCTGATATTGTTGAGACACTTCTGCGGGAGATGGAGGATTTAGGTTTAGAGCCAAATGTGAAATCGTACACGTGTTTGATTAGTGCGTATGGGAGGACGAAGAAGATGAGTGATATGGCTGCTGATGCTTTCCTGCGGATGAAAAAAGTAGGTTTGAAACCTTCTTCACATTCTTACACAGCTCTTATTCACGCTTACTCGGTTAGTGGGTGGCACGAAAAAGCTTATGCTTCCTTTGAAGAGATGTGTAAAGAGGGGATTAAACCATCGGTTGAAACATACACATCACTTCTCGATGCATTCAGACGATCTGGTGACACTGAAAAGCTGATGGAAATTTGGAAACTAATGTTGAGAGAAAAAATCAAAGGGACACGGATAACATATAACACTCTTCTCGATGGGTTTGCCAAGCAAGGACTCTACATTGAAGCAAGGGATGTTGTTTCTGAGTTTAGTAAAATGGGTTTGCAGCCAAGTGTTATGACTTACAATATGCTGATGAATGCCTACGCACGGGGAGGACAAGATACGAAATTGCCACAGCTTTTGAAGGAAATGGCTGCTCTTAACTTAAAACCTGATTCCTTCACATATTCAACCATGATCTATGCGTTTGTTCGTGTTAGAGACTTCAAAAGGGCATTCTTTTACCACAAGATGATGGTTAAAAGCGGGCAAGTACCAGACCCGAGGTCCTATGAGAAACTTAGGGCGATTCTGGAAAACAAGGTAAAGACAAAGAACAGAAAGGATAAGACTGCCATTCTTGGTATAATTAATAGCAAATTCGGTAGGGTTAAGGCTAAGACGAAGGGGAAAAAAGATGAGTTTTGGAAGTACAAGAAGAGCCGAACTACTTCTTCTGATCGTCGCCGATCTTGAAGGTAACCTAAAAGCTATATAAATGCTTTAGTGGTACAAAGTGAAAATGCTCAAGCTATACGAATCTAGTTGTATTCAATATATGTTACCCTGTTCATTGTACTTAATCTTATTTTATTTTGTTCCTAGGACATACTTTGGTCATGTGTAGTAAAAGTGCAGAAGTTTAGCTTTATTATTTCGACAAGCAAAGAATCTCTTAAGCTGCAAGCAATCTTCAGATATAACTCTTACCTCTCTGCATTAAAGTTCACGCACATCAGTCTCTTGTAAACAACCCAAATAAAGAAAATGAAAATCCTGATCTTGATTCTATCCTCTCTGACACTCTTTGAGCTTTGCATTGTGGACGCATGCCGATCATACTGTGGAAATATAACCGTTGATTATCCGTTCGGAATTCGAAATGGATGTGGGCATCCAGGGTATAGAGATCTCTTGTTTTGTATGAACGATGTGTTGATGTTTCACATAAGTTCAGGTTCATATAGAGTTTTGGACATCGATTACGCATATCAGTCCATAACGCTGCATGATCCTCACATGTCGACCTGCGAAACCATCGTGCTTGGCGGCAAAGGGAATGGCTTTGAAGCTGAGGATTGGAGAGCTCCTTATTTCAATCCTACATCAGATAATGTGTTTATGTTGATCGGATGTTCTCCTAAATCTCCTATATATCAAGGTTAGTAAGTTACTACAACAAATACTTCAAAAAAAATCAACTTAGAGATTAAATTTTGATTTGCTTACTTTCTTTAGGCTACACAACTTTAAAAATTTAGTTTGGATTCTTCATAAAAACAATATTAGGTTTTGATTTGCTTACAATCTTATAATCCGGTTTACAATTTGAATTCGTTTTTTTTTTTGGGGTTGGTTTAGAAAAAGTTAGAAGAAAAAACAATTTCTATCGGTTTGGTTTGATGCAATTTCGGTCTGATTCATTTTTGTGTTGAATAATTTCATATATTAATAAATTTATTATTACATTAATTAATATGATTACGTAATATAATACATAGATAACTAAAAAAAAAAAATTGAAAAAAATCCGGTTTAGTTTTTGATATTCCAAAATTATTATGTTTAAAAATAACTAAACCGGTTAAATTTGGATTTCGGGTCCGGTTAAATTTAGTTAATAGTCCGGTTAAATTTGGTTAATAGGCTTCCCGGAAAAGAAAGTGCCGTGCCGCAACATCTCTGGAATGAGCTGCGAAGAATACATGTCATGTCCAGCATGGGACATGGTCGGATACAGACAAGGTATACATTCCGGGTCAGGTCCGCCCATGTGTTGTGCGGTCGGGTTCGAGTCAGTAAAAGCGATTAATCTAAGTAAGTTGGAGTGTGAAGGATACAGTAGTGCATATAATCTAGCACCCTTGAAGCTTAGAGGACCCTCTGATTGGGCTTATGGGATACGTGTTAAGTACGAGCTCCAAGGAAGTGATGCGTTTTGTCGTGCGTGTGTTGCAACTTCTGGGACTTGTGGTTATGATGAATCTGCTGATGGTGGAGGGCTTAGACATGTTTGCATGTGTGACAACCATAATTCCACTACAAACTGTGATTCAGGTCAGTTTTGAATTATCAGTTTTTTTAGTTAAAAGTTAAGTTTTTTAATCAATTATATAAATAAAATATGAGATTAAACCTTAACCATATATATAACTTATGCATTACTATATAGTAAGTTTTTTTTTGTTTACTTTATTCATTAAAAAATTTCCGAAAAAGTCGAAAACCAAGACTAGATTGATCATATAATCATCGCAAATTTAAGAGTAACATAGTAAAATGCACATGCACATATGTTATTTCACCATATATTTCTTTTGGATTTTTGACCTATAATGTTATTAAAAGTATTTTTGGCCTAAAATGTTTTTTGGTTTTTCGTTTATGAGTTTATAACATTCAACAAATAACGTTGGACCGGCTCTGCGCTAGATAGTCCAAAATCGAAGCGAGTCACCACGATTTTGTGTAAATTGGTCATGCAAATAGGGCAAGTGGTTCAAGAGCTTAACTGATCATGTTAGATGTAGTTGTTGGTCCAATGGACTGTACCGGTTTAGTGTTTTTTTTTTTTTTGACGTCTAGATTTATTATTTATTGCAAATTATGAGAAATGTTACATAGACGATTCTACAACGGACAATTCCTTCCGACCCTTATTAGATCCACGACAGACGACACTTCCTTCTCCATGCTCTTTGACGGACATCTTCAATGATCCACGACCTGACGACATTTCTCTCTCTGCGTAGAATCTTGGCGAACGGCTATAATTGTACTTCGCTGGAGATCTCCTGCACACTTGCCTCCTTTAATCTGCAAATTTATTAATAAATCGCAATATCTGGGACTCGAACCCCAGACCTCTTGATGTAGAAGCATTAATTAACCCTTAGTCAACCAATGGGCCAAGGGGCTTCCACGATATATTTTTAGTGTTTAGAATAATTTTTCTGAACAATATATTCACTCGAAATTGTTCTTAATTTCAATGAAAAGTTGATGATTTTCTTTGTTTATGTAGTTATACCACCAGCCGGTGCATCATCAAGTGTTCGACCAAAAACTATCGGATGTAAGTTTCAAAATGCATTTACGTGTACTCTTGTTTTTGTACAGATTTATTTTACTTTTAACCTAAATTATTAATTTTTTTTTTTTTTTGCAGCACTGATCCTCTACTTCATAGCAATGAACATAGGCTTACAGAGAAGACAATGATGAGTTACCCATTGTTAATTAAAATCGAACTAAGACTCCAATTTTACTTTTACTTTATATCCCATACATTATAGTTTCATTGCATGAAATTATCATGAAACGTTTTTGTGTATACTTCTTCAAAATTTTGATTTCTATACCAAATTTATTGCCTTATTAACAACTAGGATTTAAACCGGGACAAAAAAATTTGTTTCACACAATCTTAATTAAATTAATTTGATGGTGTTAAACAAAATCCCCATTAATAAATAAAGAATTGACCCGCATTGAAGCGTCAGGTTAGTGATATTTAAATTTTTTAAAGTCAGTTCAAACATGTCCCGCCATATAACTCGTCCAGCGTTATTTAAATATTTTATATATGTTTAAATATACATAATATGTTAATTTTTATATTAAGTTTAAATATACATATTAATTATAATGTTTCAAACTCTTACAAGTTAAAAATGTAAAATTAAACGGTTCAATAAAATACTAAACTAAACCGTATAATATGATTTATTCTGATTTGGATTCATTTTGGTTTTATTTATTATATGACTTTGAATCATTAACAAAATCTTCTAAATATCTATATTATTAATTATAGTGGATATTTTTTATTTTATAATTAATGTTAAAATCTTATAATTATGTTTGCTTATATGGATAATAGAAAATTAATTATGAGGTTGTTTGGATACATAGATATTAGTAATGACATTCTTTGTAAATACTTACTAAAACAAAGTCTACCGTATTTCAAAAATATAAATATAGATGGAAAAATTCAATAAAAAAACACACACAACATCAAAAACTTATGTTTGTTTTTTTTAAGAAGTTTAGGGTTTTGTAAAGATGAAACCATTAAAGATGAAAACTACTACTGCTTATAAATATTAAAACAAAAATCATTATATTAAATCTTATAAAGATGAAACCATTAGTATGAAATATAGCACTAGAATTTAAATTGATGAGTGAAAAAAAAACAAATCAACGTTATCCTTGGGATCTTTTAAAAAAAATCTTTAAATTAAATTTCATATGATTTTTACAAGAAAAACAAATTTAGTTTGCCACTTACAAAATAATATGAATTTGAACTATTATGTGAGAGTTTATATCATCAAACAAACAAATTATCTGTGAGTTTATATCAACAATTTATTTCTAAAAGTTATATATAACATTTATTTATTAATGTTTACATACATAAATAACAGTAAAGTAAAAACTACTAAATATAAGCAAATGCAAGATTTCAAATCTTAAGAGCCTTTTAATTTTTTTCTAGTCATACATATATTAAAAGAAATTTTCTTATAAGAAAAAATCTCGCCGCATAGCACGGATTTTTATCTAGTAAAAAACTACATTAAAGACAATATGACATAACTAAACTTACTATAAATTGAAAAAAATATAATCAATTATCCCAAAGTTTTATTAAAAACAAAAAAAAACAACCATATGGGGTTTTAAGGTAAACCATAACCAAACAAAATCACATAATTACGATTTAGTTTCGTTGTGTTTTCTTTGGTAAGGGTTCAATAATGTGACTTGGTTCATTTGCCATTTATGCGGAGATTCTTATACTTTTTACATGTTGTGAATCTGAAGTATACTATATTTATTATTAATACTATATATTCGTGTGTTTGATGAGTGGTATAACTAATGCACTTACCTCATCAGTTGTTACATCAACTCTGGTCGCTAAAAGTACTTTAGAGATAGAGAGTAACATTAAGCAGATTCTTGAGATGGGCCGTGCAAACTGAAGCCGTGAGTTAGTTACCTATGTATTTCATAAGGCATATTTCAACCTTGAAAGAGCTATGGAATACTTTGAAAGATATATTTCTTTAGACCTTTAACTTTGTGTTTATAGCAAGGGAATGTGTAATTTGAAACTGATCATTTATGTTATATAGGGAATCTCGGTGGGGACTAAAAATGTTTTATCTATCCACAAACACAAGAACATGCAGCTCTGTGACGAAAGAATCAAGAACATGCACGCGCATATATTCTGCCACTGAATCAAGAACTTACAGATCCTTAATCACAGATTCAAGAACTTACAGCTCCTAGCCAGCAACATGCCCGACGCCGTTGTTTTATCATTTAGAATGTGAGAGAGAGAGAGAGAGAGAGAGAGAGAGAGAGAGAGAGAGAGAGAGAGAGAGAGAGAGAGAGAGAGAGAGAGAGAGAGAGAGAGAGAGAGAGAGATTTTGATAGTGTCAGATAAATATTAGATCACTTGATTTCTTGCGCTACACTCTACAGATATTGGATTGTTTCTAGTTTACTTTTTTTTTCGTCCACTGTTTCTAGTTTACTTAACTTTAAGAAAATGAGTAATTTGATGGAAGTTGAACTGTTTTACATGGTGTGTCAGTCAATACAAATCTATGTAACCTCTGGTGCAATCATCTGCTCATGAAAACGAAAAATATGAAGATTCGTACAATAATCCATTTGATGAGTTTGAGAGATTTACGGACGAAGATCTCTCAAATGTCATGTTCTAATGGACATGGCATTTTTTGAGAACTCTTCTCCTCCTGTCTTTCATACATTACCCAAGGATGTTGATGAAACTACGTTGTTTCACGAACTTGATCTTTCAATCACTAATTACGGCACCAACGAGGAGTTTGATGGGCTGTTTTTTATCAACGACGGATTTATCATATCTTGGGACCTATTCGAACCATCGAATGATGATCTTAACGAAAACATCGACAATGAGTGATTGAAAGATCAAATTTATGCAACAACTTAGTTTCATCATCAACATCCATGGGTAATGTAGGACATACATGAGGAGGCGATTTTTCGAGAAATGTCATGTCCATCAAATTGGGATTAGGATTTGCCATGACATTTGAGAGGTCTTCATCCGTAAACGGCCCAAACTCATCAAATATATTATTGTACGGATCTTCGCTTTTGTCGTCTCCAAGAACGGATGATTGCACCATAGGTCGCATAAATTTGTATAAATTGACGCACCATGAACAGTTTAAAGTTAAGTAAACTAGAAACAATTCAATACCTGATAGAATGTCGCGCAAAAAATCAGGTGATCCAGTATCTCTCTCTCTCTCTCTCTCTCTCTCTCTCTCTCTCTCTCTCTCTCTCTCTCTCTCTCTCCCTCTCTCTCTCTCTCTCTCTCTCCATCCACAAACCCGTCGGTGATAAAAGATAGCCCATCAAACTCCTTGTTGATGCCGTACTTAGTGATTGAAAAATCAAGTTCGTGCAACAACTTAGTTTCAACTAAAAAGAGAAAGGAAAAACCATGTAAACGAATAGAGAATTCTAACTACAATAGAAGTATTGTCCATACTCTATAGCTGATCCCGATATTGATGTTCATTTAAAAAAAAAATCTTTGTATGTATAGGTGATCTCATTGGTTTTAAAATAGAGAAAATTTTGAAAATAAAAATCTTTAATAAATGGAATTTTAAAATTTATGTAAAAGTAATGAGGTTACCAAATTATCATATCATTCTAATTGATTAGGGGGACATCGTAAGAAAACAAAGCCATAAATCATTAAATCTAAGTTAGGGATATCATAAAAACCCAAAACAATAAATCTAAGTTGACTATAGTATGAAAAACTATCTTAGATGGGTTTTTAAAGTTGGCAATAGTTTGAAATCAAGAAAAAAAAAACAAGTATCAATTAAAAATAAAAGAACGGGATTTGAGAAAAATAAAATTAAAGACTCTATTATGGAAAGTAATATGACATAGGAGGTAGATGAGATGTGACATAGCATGTTTACATGTCATTGACATTAACGAAGCAGAGCGACGACGATATTTATCGATTAGTTATACACGACTATAATTATGAAAAGCTCTAGACGGATTGATTTCATATACGCCTTCATGGTTTCGATAAGATATAAATCATCTAAAAATAGATGTACGTATGATATTTCGTCTATCTTGATGAAAATATTTAATGTTTTATAAATAAGTATAAAAGTTGTAGTAGTATATTAGTATATGTGTATAGAAAAAACAATTTGGGGTAAATATGTGTATTGTCAAGAAAGGAAAAGTTATTATTTATAACAAATGAGTTTAGGTTACTAAAAATTTAAGTGGGGCATGATATTATTTGGTACTTCATACGTTATTAATTCATAAGTTATTAGGATTTTAGTGGAACTGACTTATTCAATTGCTTACTCAATTAGTGCAAGAAAACGTTACATGATTTGTAATTGGCCTTAATATATGATTTTTAATTTAAATTTCTTATATTAATTGTGCTTTGATGAGAGGACTTTAAACGTAACATTTATTAGTTCTTTACTTTTTCCTTGCATTTAAACTTTTAGTAATTAATGTTTATAAAAATTACATTAAGGCATAATTATATATTTAAACTATTCCATTCCCCATCCAAGAAATGGTTTTCATTATGATCATTTATTTTGTTATAAAGTATCCTGATCTTCTTTTTTTTACTTTAAATGATGAAAAACAAATCAAATAAATTGTAAAAAAACTGTGTGAAGTAGATGAATCAATTATGTGATAGTAAATAGATAAATATTTTGGCAATGTTAGAAAGAGTTAAGACAAAACTCTCTCATGTTTTTTTTTTTTTTTTTTTTTTTTTTGGACAAAACTCTCTCATGTTATGTAAGAAACGTTAGCTTCAGAAATAGAATCTATAACAATCTATTCATGTTAAAGAACTTTATTCATGTTTCTTCCAACCATTTGTATGTATTTCTATTAAATTACAAACTACATACAATTTCAACAATCCTATAAATTAAATCAAATAATCAAAAAACAAAAAATCAAAGATCAATACTTACTTTTCATCTTCGTAAAACAATCTCAGTATCAGCCCAAACCCATCAAATTTCCTCTTATCAAAAACCTCACATCTCTTAAAGAAACCCACCAATGGTTTCACACTTAAAAAAAACATTGCTGAGCCAGTCCGGTAATATTCGGGGTCTAATACGAAGAAAAAGATCGGAGCCTTCCAACAAAAAACTG